AAAAAAAAAGAAAGAAAAAAAAAAAAAACAAATGCACACAGCTCGATTTACACTGGAACTGTTTCTACTCAAACCTTGCGCCTGCTCTGTAAGGTGAGGTTTCATCTCTGCTCCGGCCACCGGGGTTAACTTTTGGGTTTTTTTTAAACACTCTGTTCTTGCTGTCTGTGTATCTGTCTGTGTGTCCGTCTTCCCCCGAGACTCCCTATCTTGTCTGTGACTTTGTGTAAAGTGAGGAACGTGTCTTTGCATTGTGTTTGGAGCCATTGCCCATCCTCCTGTGGTGTTCAGCGGCCGGGCAGTGCGGAGGGAGGGCCGGAGCAGCGGGCGGTGTGCGCTTGGTGAATGTACAGCTTCCCTTCCCTCTCCAGTTCACCCTGCCTCCTATCTCAGCCAGAGGTTCCCATGTGTCTGCAGTACCGTACCCTTAACCAAACCCTTCTGCATTTAGAAACCGAGGTGGCGGGCACTTCACAGATACCCTAAAGACTCTTCAGCTGCTGTAATAGGACCCTGGCGATGCTCGTCCCGGCGGGTTGGGGAGGAAATCTTAGCGACTGTGAAATAACCTGCCATAGGAAAGCCCAGCACACCGGTAGGTACATCTGCCGCGCGCTCCTCTGTGAGCACTGCAGGCTCTCGTTTCTGAGTACGAGTCTCCCGTCCCTGTTAACTGTGCAGGCTGCTTCTTGAGGACACTTAATCAGCTATGTAACATGCACTGACCCGCTGGCCCACCCCTCCAACTGTAGCCACACATGCATCTGCCTCAGCGCTAAACCAAACAGCAGACAGCGGAGCGGTTTCAGACCGGATAAAGTTAGAAAGGGGTGAGTGCAGGACGACAGGGTATCCCCTATAAGCAGGATTGCGGGAGAAGCCTTGTTTGTAGAGAGCTGCCATCACAAGGCAGTCAAAACCGAGGAGGATCTGAGATAGGAACGCTGACTATGTAGCATTTATACAGCACTTTTCATGCAAACGTGTGCCAGGGAGGTGCAGTGCTTACTTAGCTGACTGGTAGCAAACATAGGAATCCCTGCCCGGCTCTGAAACGTGCCCAGCTCAGAGCTGGCTGCAGCAGCTGTGGGAAAAATGCGACACTACAGAGAGTTGAGGAGATGAGGCTGCCGCCGCTGCAGCTGGAAACAAGGAGGGGAGACGTCAGACATGCGAGGGCAAATGGTGGTGGGGAGAGGCAGAGGTACGGAGCGTGTGCTTCTCGTCTGTGGCGCAGGGTTAATCAGTGGTACGCTGGCTTCAGAACAGATCTCTTGGTACTTATCTGCCCCTTTTATTTGTTTGGTTTTGTATATTTTATTAGAAATGGACTGTAAAATAGCCACTTAGACACTTTACCTCTTCAGTATGCAAATGTAAATACAATGTAATATAGGAAATCTTTTGTTTAATATAAAACAAGGCTGTCGATTTCTGCTGTACATTATTAAAAGTTTGTTTTATTCATGTGAGGTGGTGGAGTCTCTCGCGGTTTGCTGCGAAGGGATAGCTGTGGCATGGAGGGGTAGGAACTGAGCAGCAAGGCCTGGCCGAGCTTAAGGGTCCCCCTCCCATCCCCAGAGAAGCATCTGGGGGATCTCATTCACCCCCGCCTCTAATATCCCCGGGAATCCTGCTCGACAAACCTTAATGAGGAATATTCCCCTCATTAGTGGAGACGTGGCTTCTATCGCCTGCTCGAGAGAGGGGTTGATCGCAGCAGAGGGGAGATGAGGATGCGGCAGGGTGGGCTTTCCAGCCCACACAGGGATGGGCAGCTGCAGTTGGGTCTCCCTCTTGGTGGGTCAGTAATGTGACAGGAGGGGGGACGGCCAGCATCGCCCCTGCTCTCCACACACGGAGCCGCAGCTTCAAAGAAGGATAAATTTGAGTCCAAACTGCCCAGTATCCCACTAAAATCCTGTTTGCTCGGAGGGCAACCACTGCTGCATAAACTGCCACTGCTAATTCTCCCTAATTAGAGCCTCCCGTCAATGAGCATGTTGTGAGCGGATCAAGGGGAAAATCCGGTGGGGCCTGGGGTCCCCCCCGGGCTCAGACTTGTGGGGGTGGTGGGGAGGGGGAGCTGCCATCTGGGCTCACCCCTCGCTTCCCAGCTCTGGCTGTAGCTCCTGCCACAAATCCTGGGAAACTCCAACCCCATCCTGGAAATTGAGGCAGCGGGTGAGGTGAGATTATGTTTTGGGGTTTTTTTTAAAGCCAAAATTGGCTTTACGCCTCTTTTAGGAAATGCGATGGGAAAACAAGTCTGGGGTGGCTCTGGCTAGGTCATTACCTGGGCTGCCAGACTTTGGGAACAGCATGGGGTGTTCTTTTTTGCTCCCTGATGAAGGGTTGGGGTGTGGTGGGCTCAATCTTGTCCTTTCCGAAGCCTTTCCAA